TTGTTCGACAATTTCCACATTCAATTAGATCATTTTTCTTTGGAATGGGCACAAATATGGATTTCTTCCAGTCAGTTAGCCAGGTAGCTGTCTTCCAAATTTCTTGGCACAGACAAGTGAACGCTTCCAGCACTGCATCCATTTGCTGAAACACCTCAATTGGTATTCTGTTCATTCCTGGAGCCTTGTTGTTCACCAATATCTTCAGTGCAGCCTGGACTTCTTCCTTCCATACCATCAGTTCTTGATCACATGCTACCTCCTGAAATGGCTGAATGTCGACCAATTCTTTTTGGTACAGTGACTCTGTATATTCCTTTCACCTTCTTTTGATGCTTCCCACATTGTTCAATATTTTGCCCATTGAATCCTTCAATATTGCAACTCGAGGCTTGAATATTTTCTTCAGTTCTTTTAGCTTGAGAAATGCCGAGCGTGTTCTTCCCTTTTGGTTTTCTAACTCCAGGGATATTTTTATAAAAAATAATAAATTTCTGCTGAAACACTACACAAAAATTTTATAGACAGTCATTTTGGTGTCACCCCTAATGACAATGTCAGCCAGCGTGGTGCGCACCACCCCTGCATCCCCCTAGTGACGCCACTGGAAGTCAGCACAACTTGACCAAGGTAGACAAAGACACTACGTACATGAGAAAATGGGACAATTTTGGTAAATGCTATAACATATATTATTTTTCAACAATAGTAAAAACAAACAAAAAAAAATACGTGTGTTTGATTACGTAGGTAGTTATGGATACATATATGTGTACAGGAAGGCTTATGTGAATATAGTCATTCTTCGGTACCCACGGGGGTCAGTTCCAGGACCCCTGTGGATACCAAAATCTGTGGGTGCTGAAGTACCTTATATAAAATGGCGTAGTATTCGCATATAACCTAAGCACATCCTCCTGTATACTTTAAATCATCTCTAGATTATTTATAATACCAAATACAATGTAAATTCTATGTAAATAGCTGTTATACAGTACTGTATTGTTTAGGGAATAATGACAAGACACGAGGCGAACAATGCTCAGATAATGAGTGCTGGAGAGAGACTGAGGATCTGTGAAACGGGTACGCTTACACATAATATCATTCGCATGGATACAGCGTATTGCTCAGTGTGCAGCAAATTCGAATTTTGCTTTTTGGAACTTTCTTTTTTTCTTTTCAATGATTATTTCCGCTGTTGGTTGAATCTGCAGATGCAGAACCCATGGATACAGACAGCTGACTGTAAATGCACATGCACGTATAGGTCTATCTATAGGCATATTTATACACACGTTTGTGTGTGCTGCGTACATACCCACATAAATAACAAACCACGTAGACGGCACAGTTACAGAGGCTTCCAAGACATTTCCAAACAACTCGTGGGACTAGTTTACTGGGTCAAAAGGCTTGGGACCATAGTGTCAGAGTACAACTTAGTCAACTGGCATAACACAAAGATAATGTTCTACATCCCAGTTTGATGAGTATCATCTGAGGTTTTAAAAGCTTTCAAGTAGCTATCTAAGATAACAACTATTGGTCTCTACTTGTGTGGAGCAAAAGAGAATGAAGGAAATCAAAGGCTCAAAGAAGAAATTTTGTCCACGGAGCTAATAGCCCATATAAACCACAACCTCTTCTAACCTGAGACCAGAAGAACTAGATGGTGCCCAGCTACCACTACTGACTGTTCTGACCTGGGATACAACAGAAGGTCCCAAATAGAATGGGAGAAAAATGTAGAGCAAACTTCAAATTCCTTAAAAATGTCAGACCTACTGGACTGACTAAGACTAGAGGAACCCCCGAGACTACTGCCCTAAGATACACTTTGAACTTGGAACTGAAGCTACTTCTGCAGTCACCTTTCAGCCAAATAATAGACTGGCTTATAAGATAAACAATATCACTCATAAGTAATGTGCTCCCTTAAACAATGAACTATATGAGACCAAACGGTCTACAGTGATCCAAAAGCAAAGATGAGAAGGCAAGGAAGGGAAGGGAAGCTAGATCAATGGAAACAGAACAAACAGAACACAAATAATGAGAAAGCCGACACACTGTAAAAATTATAATCAGTGACACAGAACAACTTATATAAAAATTGTTAAACTCAAACCCATAGCCATAGAGTTGATTCTGACTCACAGCGATCCTATAGGATAAAAATTGTTAAAGAAGAACTTAATTTGCTGTGTAAACTTTCACTTAAATCACAATAAAAGATTTTTTAAAAAAAGGAGTCCCTGGGTAGCGCAAACAGATAACCACTCGACTACTAGCCAAATCTACCCAGATGCACCTCAGAAGACAGGCCTGGTGATATGCTTCTGAGAGGTCACAGCCTTGAAAACCCTATGGAGCAGTTCTACTCTGCACACATGGGGTCACCATGAATCAGAACCAACTTGATGGCAACTAACAACAATTAAGAACACAGGGATAAAAAGATATGGGATTTACGATTTGTTCAGCAGCAACAACTAAAAAAGACCTACATAAAGCAAATATTGCAAATCTTGATGATGGGCATATGCGGCGATCATACCATTTTCTCTATGTTGTGTATGTTTAAAATCTTTAACCATAAAAAAATTTAAATGACACATTCCAAAAATAAAATATGAATCAAAGAATAATAAATGAGTAGAGGATTAATTGTCAGAGATTGACACTGGCATGAAGAAAACATTTATTAAATAAACAAAAGTACACCCATTCTTCACTTATTGACGTGGTTAGGTTCCAAAGACCAGGTCATTATGCAAAAATTAGTGTTATGTGAAAATGGAGGATGACCACATCAGATTACAAAACGGAGGATGACTACATCATTATACAACTGCCAAATTACATCATTACATAACTACCAAACCACTGAGAATTACAGCCCAGCCACACCGACACATAACCTTAACCATCACAGCCAGCGTTATTCTCGCCTCACACCTCAGCATTCATTATTACCAGACGTAAGTTGTTAATGTGCAAAATAGTCAGTAGATTTTTTCCTACTGTCATAAATGCAAAATGTCAGGTAACAAGATAGTGAGGAGTGGGGTGTATTCTAAATCTAGAACATGACAACTCTTGTATCTTATTCAACAAATCTTTGTGGAAAGCCAACAATTTGCATGCAAGGCACTGTCCTAGGTGCTACAAGATATAAAGATGAGGAGACAGTTCCTGTCTGCAAGGGACTTACAATCAGAAGAACAGAATGAAACCAGATGGGTAAGCTCAGGCATGGTTTCATGGAGACCCTGACATCTGAGATGTGCCTTAAAAGACATACAACTATAAGGGAGGAAGGAGGGTTGAGGAAGTTGGGATGAATTCTAGACAAAGGTACAAAAGCCTCAAAACATTTATAAGACCCTTCTTAATCTGACCAACGCATGCCTCTCAAGCCTCATCATCCATCACTTTCTTTCTGGTTCTCACCAAAGACTTGGAGGCATTGAATATTCAAGGCACTGAAAAAAGTTCACTATAGAGAAGGGTACAAAGGCAGCAAAGCAAAAGCAGCATTCAAAGTCAGTATTTATATTATAGACCAGGCTGACCAAAAAAAAAAAGAAAAAGAAAGAAAGAAAGAAAGAAAAAGCCAAAAAATACAATTTATTTGTCTCTCTGAAAGGTCAGAAAGATAGTATAGTACAGATGGGCATATAAATGTCATATTTTGGTTTGGACTAACTCTGACGGTATTTGACAACGAAAACACTGGAAATTTCAGAGTGAGGTGGGAAAGGGGACAGAAATTCTATTTAATTGACAAGAGGAATCGAGGAAGTAACCTGAGCAGGGTGGTTCTAATTTGCTGAAAACCAATAGAATCACTTATTCCACTGTTTTTACTCCAGTACCTCAAGCGTGTTCTCATGATGATGTGCCAAACATCACTCCTTAAAACAACTTGCTTCTGTTCATTTCTAACATCAGACCACTGTAAAATTAGAATACAACTTCCCTATCTTTGGGAAATCTTATGCATATAATCTGAGTTTGTATAATAAAAGTCTTCTATTGAGGTAGATTAGTAATTGCAAAAAAGTATCCGTTTTAAGAAATTGTAACAAATCATTATTCTGCTTTAGTTCTGCCTTTCTTCTCAATGGAAAAATTCATTTATTACCACTATCCTGTCAATTTTGATCATTCTGCGGAAAGCATCGCTTCAAACAGAAGATTAGAGGAATGGTTCTCTTGCAAATGAAGAGACATCACAAACTTTTTTTTACCTTGGCCAAATTCCAAGGCGGTCACTTTGGAGTGAATGGTAACAACAATGAAAAGCAGCAAATTGGTCATGTCTTACACCTATCTTAAACAGATGTGAGAAAAGGATGTATGGGTCAGTTCCACCAAGAGACACACAAAAAGGGTCAAATCTCTAAAGACATACCTATTTATTGTCAGAGCAAGTGCATGTTGGGAATGAACTACAAAACTGCAACATGCACCTATAAGCATAATTAGGATGCTCCTGATAAAACAGACTTCCATCTTTCATTTGCTGAGGTCTCCAAATTCAGGAAGCTGACAGCTATCAGTGGCCCTCATTTTTTTTTTTTTTTTTTTGAAGAAGCTAACTGGTCACACACTTTGAGTGTTAGCCCTTTGAGAGGCTTCTTCATGTTGCCTTTCAAATGGAAATTTTAGTTTAAAATGCAATTTTACAACATGGCCCTTTGCAACAGCAATAAAATCTAGGTTGGTTGAATGAAACCAAGAAACAGATTGATAAGTAACTCTTGAGCTATCCCACTACTCTGTGGTACCCTTCATTTACACAGTTCTTCCAGTAATCCACATTTAACTAATTAAAAAGCCGGGATGTCAGCTCTCTCTCTTACAGAATCTCTTAGTGTAAATTAGCTAGTCAATGGGTGTTGAATTAGGCCAAGCACTGGTTAAAGCCCTGAGGCCTACTCACTTAGGGCCCTCTTTGTGAAAAGATTCGGCGCAAGCAGATGCTTTCTTACCTGTGGAGTCATCGTAGAAGGATCTGGCTCAGGGGCGGCTTGCTGCTGTTCAGTACTCTTGTTCTTGGTTCCACTCTCCAAAGGCTCTTGCTGAACTGTTGTCTTATTCCCAGAAGGGCCGGACGGTGGTGGTGGAGCTAGCAGTTGAGATTTAGGATGGCCCTGGGAGGGGCGGGAAGGAGATGCTTGAGAAGGGGGCAAGTAGGACTGGGAATGGCTCAAATAGGATTGCGAGGAGGAGGAGGAGGAAGAGTAAGATGAGGTGGGTGCCAGGTATGACTGGGACGGTGGGGACTGCGAAGGCGACGGCTGAGCCGGAGGCGGGTAAGGCTGGGACGAGGACGGGGGATAGTACGAGGGTGGCGGTTGAGGTGGAGGCATGTAAGATTGAGACGGGGGCATGTAGGATCCTGGTGGCACAGGGGGAGATGCAGGGGGGGAATCCAGCTCCATGGGAACCAAACCAGGAGGCCCGTCTCGGTGGTGGTGAAGCATCTGATGTTTGTACTGCTGCTGCTTCTGATAGCTGAGAGCCGGCCCAGGCGGCGGAGGCATCGGCGGCGGCGGCGGCTGCCAGTCCCCATAGCCGCCCCCGGGCATCACCGGCGGAGGTGGCAGGGGGGGCGGGGGGAGGTGGTGGGGCTGGAGCACGCACTGCATTTGCTTCTGGTGCATCTGCTGCAGCTGCTGGAGCTGCGCCAGGTGCTGCTCGCGGAAGCTCATGAAGCCAGAAGAGGAGGGGGCCGAGGGAGTCGTCGAGCTCGAGTACCCGGACCCCGGCGAGGCCTCAGGAAGCGCCACCGGCGGCGGCGGGACCGGTGGCGGTGGATAGTGGCTGCTCCCGCCATACCGGCCCCAATTAGGGTACATATCGGAGAAGAAGGTGCAGGGCTCGTCCTGGCGCCGTTACTCGTCGCAACCGACCTTCAGAAGCTGCGGCGGCAGCGGCGACAGCCGGAACTCGCGGCGCCTACAGGCCCCGGAGCGTGTAAACGGAGCACGCCAGTGCGCCGGCGCTACCGAGCTGGGCCCGCGACCGGGAAGGCGGGGATACAGCTGGGGCGAGCACGCCTGCGCAGTATCCACCGAGAGGAGAACAAAGGCGAGGTAGAGCGGGCCTTCGCTTGGCTACTCTCGGTTGCCATCTTCCTTAAGGTTCAGGTAATGCAGGCGCGAGTAGAATGTTCTCATTGAACCGAGGAACCATAGAGTCTCACAGCCGAAAGGGGTGGTAGAGATCCTATCGCCCCATGGGTTCATTTTTGAATGAAAAAAAAAAAAAAAAACAAAAAACGTTCCATTCACAATAGCAACAATCGCAACATCAACAGAAAAACCACAAAACAAGTAGGAAAAACTCTAATAAGGAATATGTGAAATCTATATGAAAAAAACTACAGAATGTTCATTTCTGAGAGGGATAAAATTAGACCAGAAATAATGAAGAGGCTTACCATGGTCTTAAATGAAAAGAGGGAAATTGTAAAGATATTAGTTGATTCCAAGCTAAATTAATAAACTTAACGCAATTCTAACCAAAAAAATCCAATTGGGAACAAATTTGTGAAAGTATGGAGACTTGTTTTGAAGACAGAATGTAAGACTGCATCAATTCCTGCAGGCATATAAAAGGCAACATTTGCAGGTATTGTAAAAGGAGAGAAATGGAATTCTTCAGAATATCTCAACACATAAAAATTCATGTTGGAGAATCGCAGTTAAAGCAAAGATAGCAGAAACCAGATACAAAGATTGTCTAGAGAAGACAACCTAAAATATAAGCCTCCAAAAATCTCTCAACATAATAGGAACATGAACTCCTTCTTTGGCTTGAGTGAATCACTGAAAAGTAAAGCTGATACACACCAGATTCTGCAAAAATCAGTACCTACCTCTGAAAATATTAAGTGTGTCAGTAGTGCACCACTTAAAGATTTGACCTTGCTTCTACCTTACCAACCTAGATCTTCACCTCTCTTAGGAGGTAGATGTAAGTAGAAAGTGGGGCATCTAGGTATCCTTCAAAAGAAAGAGCTTCTTATTCTCAAATAGGAATTTAGTTGTGTTTCTTTTAACTTTGTATTGAAGTATAACATATATACCGAAAATTACATATGTCGTAAGTGTACAGTTAAGTGAACTTTCACAGACCAATCATACTTGGGTAACCAGCACCCAGATCAAGAAACAGAACGTTATTCAACCCAGAAGCCTCAGCTAGTTGTGCTTTTAATATGTTCAGTTGAAATTCTCTTTTAAAAAGTATAAAAATGAATGTAATTCGCTATAAAAACCAAACCAAACTCATTGCCACTGAGTTGATTCCGGTTCATAGCGACCCTATAGGACAGAGTAGAACTGCCCCATAGGGTTTCCAAGGAGCTGGTGGATTCGAACTGCTGACTTTTTGATTAGCAACCAAATGATTAACCACTGCACCACCAGGGCCCCATAATTCACTATAGTAATAGATTAAAAAGAAGCCCTGGTGGCGCAACAGTTAAGCGCTCAGCTGCTAACTGAAAGGTTGGCCATTAAAACCCACCCAGTGGCTCTGTGAGAGAAAGACCTGGCAATAAGATTAATCCTATTAGACAGTTCTACTTTGTCACATGGGGTCACTGTGTTAGAATTGACTCAACAGCACCCAACAACAACAATAACAATAGATTAAAGGAGAAAACTGTATCACCATCTCGTTAGATGCAGAAAAAGAATTTGATAAATTTCAACCTCTATTCGTTATTTTTTTTTTAAAGCTTAGCAAACCAGAAGTAAAAGGGAACTTCTTTCATCTGATAAAAAGAATCTACCAAAAAACTTCAACAAAATCGTACCTACTGGTGAAAACTTGGAAGTTTTCCCACTGAGATCAAGAACCATGACATCTATTTAGCATGGTATTGCAGGTCCTGCTGGGGCAATAAGGTAAGAAAAAGAAATAAAAGATACAAGTATTGGAATATTGGAAAGGAAGAAACAAAACTGTCACTATTCACATATAGTATTATTGTGTCCACAGAAAATCCAAAATAATCTACAGATAAATTATAAGAACATGAGTGCCAAATATAAAGTAAATACAGGCAGTCCCCGGGTTACAAACGTCTGACTTACGTATAACCCGTAGTTACAAACCAACCGCAGTAAAGCCTAGTATATTAAAAATTAGAGGTACGTACAATGGTTTGTAATAACAAACGGGCATTACTTAGCAATACACATCAAAACATTATTATTATTACTGTATTATTATGTTAAAGATGTTTTCGTGTATCTGGAAGTGTTTCATTAATGTTTTTTATGTATAGAAAGGTACACTATGTACTATATATTAAGACAAATATTTGACTAACTGACATTAGATATGAACCATACCTAACTGTTCTGACTTACATACAAATTTGACGTAAAGACAGAGTTAGGAACAGAACTCGTTTGTAATCCGGGGACTGCCTGTATACAAATAAATATATGCGCATTGTGGGAAAAATTCAAATTGAAAAATAGCCACCAAAAAACCAAACCTGTTGTCATCGAGGCGATTCCAACTCATAGCAACCCTATAGGACAAAGTAGAGCTGCCCCATAGGATTTTCAAGGATTGGCTGGTGGATTCGAACTGCCAATCTTTTGAAAAATAAAAGGTTTTAATTCTCCTTGTTGAAAATAAGGGAAGAAACTCACCTCCTCCCCTGTTCTTCCAGAATTCACCCTAGATAACTTGTAATGGTAGACTTCGTTTTTCTGAAAAAAATTTATCTTTAACATGAATGTAACAAGTTGTATCTACTCAGCTATTTAAAGAATAAAATTTCTTTCTGTCTTTGCAATCTCTTCAGTGGATTGTCTGTAATGTATCACATTCTGGTTTAATGCTTATTCAATAATAAAACTTTTCTTCCTCTTCTATTTTTATACAGAGCTTTTCTAGGTTGGGAGTAAATTTCATTTTTAGTAACTTCTCGCCAAGAACATATATATATATATATATACACACACATGTATATATACACATATATATAACCTATTGCCATCGAGTCCCACTCATAGCGACCCTATAGGACAGAGTAGAACTGCCACATAGGGTTTCCAAGGAGCGCCTGGTGGATTTGAACTGCCGACCTTTTGGTTAGCAGCCGTAGCTCTTAACCACTGCACCACCAGGGTTTCCATATATGTAGAGCCCTGGTAGAGCAGTGGTTAGAAGCAATGGCTGCTAGGCAGTTCAAACAGGTTTGGTATATCGTCAAGTCGATTCCGACTCATAGCGACCCTATAGGACAGAGTAAAACTGCACCACAGGGTTTCCAAGACTGTAAATCTTTATGGAAGCTAACTGCCACATCTTTCTCCTACGCTGGTGGATTCCAACCGCCAACCTTTCAATTAGCAGCTAACCACCTGAACCACTGTACCACCAGGTCTTAGTTATCTATTGCCACTATAACAAAAATACTACTATATATATGTATGTATGTATGTATGTATCTTTCATTAAGCAGCCTGGATGACGCAAGCTGTTTGCAACTGACTGCTAACCTAAGAGTTGGCAATTTGAACCCACCCAGCAGCTCACTGAAGAAATGTCTGGTGAACCGCTTCGGTAAAGATTGTCGTTGTTGTGTGCAGTCCAGTCAATTTCTACTCATAGTGACCCTGTGTGACAGAGCAGGACTGTCCCATAGGGTTTTCTAGGCAGAAATCTTTATGGGAGCAGATCGCCAGGTCTTTCCCCCAAGGAGCCACTGTGTGGGTTTGAACCACCAACCTTTCTGTTGGCAGCTGAGCACTTTACTATTGCGCCACCAGGGCTCTTCTGGTAAAGATTACAGCCAAGAAAACCTCATGGAGCAGTTCTACTCTGTAACACACGGGGTTGCCATGAGTCGGGGGCTGACTTGAGAGCAGTTAACAACAATATCTTTCATTAAGAAAGTGAAAAGGAAAAACCAAAAGGTAGAGGAAATATTTTGAGAGAAATTTAGCATGCAAAGGACTTGTATATAGACGATATAAAGAAATCCTACAAATCAATAAGAGAAAGACAATTTATAAGAGAAAAATAGGCAGAAGACTTGAACTGGTATTTCACATAAAATGAAATCTAAATGATCAATACATATGAAAGTAATTCCACCTTAATGGAAACCAGAAGAATGTGAATTAAAACCAAAATGAGATAACAGTACATGTGCAACTCACCGACACAGGTAAAATTACAGACATAATACCAGATATTGGCAAAGATGTGAACAAATGGAATTCCCTTACACTGCTGGTGGGAATGTGAATTGGGACAACCACTATTTGGCAGGATCTACTAAAACTGAACATACTATAGCCGATGACCTAGGAATTCTACTCCTAGACATATAACCGACAGAAATGCATGTATATGTTCACCAGAAGACATGGACAAGAATTTTCATAGCAGCAGTATTTGTAGTAGCTGAAAATTGGAAAACAACCCAACTATCCACATACCGCAAAATGGATCATCAAACTGTGGTATAGCTGTACAATGGAATACAAAACAGCAGTGAGAGTGGACGTACTACAGCTACATGCAGCAATGCAGGTGAATCTCATAAATGTAATGTTGAGTGAAAGGAGCCAGATGCAAAAGAGTCTATCTACTGTACATTTCCATATATATAAGTTCAAATTTAGACAAAACTGACATACAGTGTTAGAATTTAGGATAGTAGTTACCCGTGGGGGCAGATAGTGACTAGAAGGGGGCACAATGGGGGCCTCTGGTAATGTTCTGTTTCTTGATCTGGGCACTGGCTACATAGTGTCTTAGTTCTCTAGTGCTAATATAACAGAAATATCACAAGTGGGTGGCTTTTAACAAACAGAAACGTATTTTCTCACAGTTAGGAGGCTAGACGTCCGAATTCAGGGTGAAGCTTTCTCTCTCTGTTGACTCTAGAGGAAGGTCCTTGTCTCTTTTGAGCCTCCGTTCCTTGGTGATTTTCATTGGCTTGG